AAATAAACAAATAAAAATTTAATATATAATTTAATTATCTTAATATAAAAATGTTAAATTAACAATATTCAATGACTAATGTAATAAAAATAAACAAATAGAAAAAAATTAATTTAATTATTTTAATATAAAAATGTTCAATTTGCCATATTTAATGAAAAATGTAGTTAAAATACACAATTAGAAAAAAATTAATTTAATTATTTTAATGTAAAAATGTGAAACTTACTAAATTTAATAAATATGTTTGTAAAAATAAACAATTAGATTAAAATTAATTTAATTATTTTAATGAAAAAATTTTGAATAAGACTAAGGGTCAATGATTCTTTATCTTTTACTTTCTAATTATCTCTTATTAATTTCTTCATTACTAATTTATATCAGCTTTATTAACTTAATTGTATTTGTATTTTTTATACCTATTTCTTATTATGGCTAAATTTATTAGTCCTTTAAATTTATAGAATTTATATTAACTAAATTGTAGAGTGAATTATTATATTAATTTTATAGATTAAATTAATTTATTTACAATTTAGGATACAAATTCTGAATGTTTTTTTAATCAAGAATGAGGGATTCCCGGAAAGATTGAATAATTTTATTTACTCCATATTTTTGTTTGATTATTATTTGAAACAAAAATTGAAATATAATCATTTGGTTTCTTTTCAATTAATCTTTAGTTTTTCTAATTAAATTTCTCTAGAATTTTATCACATACAATAATTATTATAGAAATATATCCATTCATTTGAATCTTTTATTTAGTACATTTTATTCAAGAAATTTATCATATTTGATTACAGATTCAAAAAAATTGTTTTACAATAAAATCATAAAAAATAATTTAATAAATTTGAATAGAAAGATCTAAAAAAATAAAATGAGAATTACTTCGTTATGATCTTAATTATATATTAAATCCAATTAATATTATGAGTGATTTTAAAGAATTATATTAAAAAAAAATAATTTAGAATATATCATAAATGATCATTTTTATTATAATTCATACATCAGGAAATGATTGAAGATTTATCATTCTCTATTGGGAAGTTTTATTATATAAATCTAAAGTCTCAGGTTTTTATATTTGAATATAATCAATAAATTAAAAATTTTTTTTGTCAATACTTTATGAAAGATATTTTTGTCTTATTTAAATTTAATTTTTTGCTAATGGGATTCCAAATAATTTTAATTTTAGAAACAGTTTTTAAACATTTTTTCTTTCTTCAACTCTATTTTTTAAATATCTTCTTAACCATAGATGATTCTAATAATAAAAAGGAAATTTTAATTTGATAAAATCTTTTATTTTATCAAAATAGATTTCATATTCTTTAATATATTCCATTATTATTTTTGTTATGATTTAATTGAGAAATACTAAGTTTAATAAAGCTATAATAAATAAAAAAATGATTTGGAGTTCTATAATTTTAGTTTATTAAGAAATATAAATTCCAATAGCTAATCCAATGGTAATCATACAAATGTTAGTAGAATAATAATCCAATTTGTTTAGTTTATTTAAAATATATGGTTTATAATATTCATTTAATTCTTAATATAAATAAGTAATAAATAGAACAAGTACACCTTTTGCAACTACACTATCTTAATAATAAAGAAGAGAAAGTATAATTAATTCTTTTTCTACAATTTTAATTAACTCCCAAAAATATGCTTCTTTTTTATATTCATTATATAAGTAACCCCATAGCAACCTTATATTTTTTTTTTCAAGTTTTTCTTTGTTGGAATAAAGCCCAAAAAAGAAAAAGCTTGGAATGACTATAGCAAATAATAGAATAAATGGTAAACAAAATTAGAATATCCATTTTGTATGATAAGCTGAATCATATCTTTATGAAACATTTGCTTAAATCCATTTAAAACCAGATATGTTTCTATAAGAAACTAATTCAATAAATCCATTAATTAAATTTGGTTAAAAATAGCAGTAAATGTAAATGAAAGTTGTTGTTATAACACTTGGATTAAACTTAATATTTCTTATTTTATATGTTAAGAAATAGAAACCAATAAAAATGGTAACATATATCACAGGTAAGGCCATTTACCATATCATTCTTATGTATTATATTTCAAAATCTGATAAAGCTGCTAAAAAGCAATCAAGAGAATAAGAAGTTGTTTATAAAGGATTTCCTACAATTTCTAATGAACTATTTAAACCCTCTGATAATTACAATTAAAATGTAGTAATAGCCACGATTATTTAAAAATAATTGGTTAATATCTTAATTAACATTCCTGATTAATTTTTATTTAAATAAATTGAGCTTTTCAATATTTTAAAAGGTTAATATTTTGTACAATTTTCAATCGTTTTAATATTTCCTGAAACAGAAATTAAAAGAAATATGAGTGTGAAAATAATAATTCCAAGGATAAGAATAATATTTCTATCTTTTTCAATACATGGACCACATATAAATTTCTTAATTACTGAATATTATCCATTTCCTCTAATATTATATAAATCACATTATTCACATAATGATCCAATGTGACCAATGTAACAAGAGTTATCTCCTTCATATATACCTCCTAAACAATTTGAATCTAAATTAAGACAAAAACTTATCTTTATTGTATCAAAATAAGGTCTCCAATATCCAGCTCTTAAAATAAGTTAATTATTCTCAACAGATAATGTTGAAAAATCATCTTTTACTTCACATTTTTCAGAATTTAATGTTAAAGAAAACATATCTTAATTAGAATCACATTTTTAACAAGATTAAGTAGTTCTATTTTTGATTTCACCAAATTAACAATCATAAGTCTTTATATTAACTCTTAACATATAATTAGAATGATAATCAATAATTTCAAATGGATATTAATTACTATATATAGGAACTTTTATTGAATTACACATAATTTACAATTAAAGTACTATTTCTTCTGGGGATTAATTATCAAAATATATTATCATTTCATCTAGATTATAATTTTATGTTGAAGTATTATAATAAATCTTTCGAATACTTGTATAATTATTTGTAAATTTTTATTAATTTTCATCTTCTTTTTCAGATATATTAATTCTTCTACTTTAAATAGTGCAATAAGAATTTTCAAGATTATTAATATTATTTATATCTTCTCCTAAAGCAAAGATTTTAAAAGTCAAAAATGGATTTAAATAAATCTTGTTTTTCCAATCAAAAATTTAATATTCATTTATTTTCTATCCTGTAGGTAATTAGAGAAATTGTAATTATTTTCCATTAATGCTTTTATATGGATCTATGTTTAATTCTTGTATTTTCATTGTAGAATTTCCTATAATAGTTTTTGTTTTTAAAAGAAAAGAATTTTATTTAATTTAGATTTTCAGTTTTTAAGGAGATGAAGCAACGTTATCACTATAAATTCTAGCATGATTTCTTAAAATCTTAGTTTTACTTTTTTCATAATTCATTCCAATCTAATCTTATAAATACAAACCTCCTCCATAAGATGCATTATTAAATTAAATTATCGTATTTTCAAGAATAAAGTTTTGATTTCCTTTAATATATATTGAGCCGCCTTCAAAAGCTGCTTAATTATACTAAAAGTTACTATTTTAGACTAATATAGAAATATAATTTATTCTTAAACAAGTTCCTTAATAACCAAAGTTATATTAACAAATAAAATTTTTTATAATGAATTCATAATTTAAAGAAAAAATATCTTATTAATTGAGAATTCGATTACTATTTTTATTAGGCTTATATAAATTTAAACATCCCAAATTTCCACACTTAGAATTTTGTACATATAGAGATGTAATTTATTATTATTAAGCTATTAATTCATTACTTTAATAATTAAAACTAATTAAGCCATAATCACAAATTGAACAATCAATATGAATTAGAAAAAGTTAAACAATTGATATTTAGTCTTAAGATTTTAAATCATGTAGTAGAATTAATCCTGAATTTTAAGTTACTACATATTATTTAAATTAATCATAAATGCAAAAAGCATTCTAATTATCATCTTAATATTAATCTTCATTTGATAAGATCAAAGGGGCACTTTAGATATAATTTAAACATTAATAAATTATATTATCAATTTTGATGTTCTAAATTTTACATGTTAAATTATTAAAGTAAAATCTAGTTGTTATATTAGTAAATTAGAGATTATTAAGAATTAATTGAAGTGATTAAGCTATAATAATAAATTTATATATAAATACTGGAAAATGGAGTTATTGTTATCAAATTATTATTGATAAACGAATTTTTAATATAAACATCAGATAAATAAGCATGATTAATAGATATTAATATAATGAAGGATTCTAACATTAGATTATTAATTTTAATATCTTAAACTTAAATTAGTGATCCATATTCTAAATAAATTAAGGATCTACTATTAGTAAGGGAATTCAATTCTTATGATTTTGGTATTTCACTAAATTTATTTAAAAATGAAATGTATCCATCATATGAATTAATTACTTATAAATTTTTTAAATTTAAAACTTATTAATCTGACACAAATTTTGAATACTAAATATAAAATGCAGAGCCTTATTGTGCATAAATATCCTATAAATAAAGATTTTAAATATTTAAGATTGCTGAGGAAATATTCGATTTTAAATATAGAAATCCTCCCAATTATCTACAAAATATATTCTTAGCAGTATTATTAATAATCTCAATTAAAAGTGAAGCAGATGATGAACCATCAATATAAATTCCTGCTCCTTATTCTATTTCTTTATAAAACTATGTTTAAATTTCTTCAAATTTATTGTTTATTATTGAAATGTTTGAAATAGCTTAAGGAAAAATAGAAAAACATCCACCTAATGATCCGAAAGACTTAAAAAAATTATTATTTATAATTTTTATTTATTAGGCATTAATTTATCCAATTCCAGATTATGATTTTGTTTAAAATACAGATTCAATAATTTATTATGATATTCTACTTGTAAACCCCCATAATATATGAGGTTATAATATCTAATAATTAAAAATATTATTCTTATTAAACAAACTATTTCTTATCTCTAAAGTTTGAGCTTCAATATAAATAATATTAGAACTACAATTTGTTATTATATTATTTTAAATTTATTAATTAATCAAATAAATTTAACAAAAAGGACAATTAAATATTAATAATCCAGCTGTCTTTATGTAATCATTTTAAATATAAACATGTAAAATATTACCAAGTAAATTAATATTTTCTGCTTCTATTCTACCATATTGACTTGATTGAATTGATATTAGAGAAGTTTGAAATAGTAATTCAGTTTTTATAACTAAGTTTTAATTAAATATTAAGTCTTTTAAATAAACTTCTTCATTCTAATTCAGAATAATTAAATCAGCAGAACTTATAGAAATTATTGGAAAATTAGATGATATGAGTTTAGAAAAGGTTACATTTTAAATTTCAGTCAATTAAGATGAAATTATATTAATTGTTGTCGAATAATATAAGGCTTTAACGTATTTTAATTGACAACTTAAGTATTTATGTAAACCCAAAAATCTAAATTTATTTTATTCAATAATTCCTGATTGAATCTTAATTTTCTTACAATCATAAATAGAAAGATCATTTAAACCATAACCACGATCAATATAAAAATTAAAAATTTCTACTACATCATATTGTAATGTTATTAATGAAAAATCTACTTATTTTCTATTATAGTTTAATTAATTGCTTCTAAAATTATTATTAATCTAATTTAAATATTTGATTGTAACATTCTATGTTTTACTTGAGTATTTTTTTAGGTATATAAACTTTATTAGACTATCATATTAATTATTTAAAAAAAAAAGATTTGAAAATGTTTATACAATTATCTAATCATTGTAATCACTATTTATGATTCCGAATGATTAATTTAAGAATTAATTATCTGTAAAATAAATATTTTCTAAATGACTCTATCTATTTAATAAAATTATAGTTGATTTAGTTAAAATTGAAGATCTCATGTCAAATTAATTTATATTTAATTTACCAATACCTTTTAAATTAAAAAAATTTTCAGAATGATAAATGTTACTAGTTAAATTAAAATTTGTCATTTTGAGCTCTCCAGATTCATTAAATTAACTTGCCCTAATAAATTCTGAGTTTGAGAAATTAGAATTTAAAGTGATGTTATCAAATTCTATATAATCTCCTTCATTCAATCCTAAATCAAATATAATTAAATTATCAATAACACAATCTTTTATTTTGATATTTTTAAATATCAATGACTTAGGAAATAAAGTATATTCCACTTTCATAAAGCATTCAGCCTAATCAATAAAGGCTTTATTAATTATTAAATTAGTAAATTAAAGGAATTTTAAATTAAGTAAATGAAATTGAAAAGCTACAGAGTTAATTAATTCATTAAAAATTTGAAAAGTAATTTAATCCAAAATTACTGTTTAAGGGAAAAGACTTTAAAAGTAAAATCTTTATTATAATTAAAGAGAAGCTGCTTAAATTATAAACCCTGAAAAAGTGATTTTACTAAAGTTTATTATTTCAAAATTTTTATGAACAATCAAGACTGCTGAGGGCTTAAAATTGAATTCAATTTCAACATTGCTAAATAGAAATAATATAAAAATACATAAGAGAAAATATGTTTTCAGAAAAAGTTTATTTAATTTTTCCATCAAAGTATAAACTGAAATTTTAACCTTTATTTTTAATTTTAATAATTAAAGATTTGATGATCTTTGAATTAGCTAATGTGTAAAACTATTCGTCTGAAAACTAACAATAAATTAAATCATATTACTTCTGTTAAGCCATTACCATAACCAACCAATCGTTCTAAAATTATATTTTCTTTTTTAAATTTAATCCTAGATTTTTCATCTTCTAATGAATTAAGGTCGCTATAATATTATTATTGATCACTATATAAATTAATTTCTATTATTAATTATTTAAAGCAACCATTACCATTTTCTTGTTATAAACACTCTATAAATAAACCTAAATCTTCATCATAATAATATTTTTAATCATCAAAACTTTTCAAACACTAATGAGTATATTTTTAATATTTCTAATTTTGAAAAAGTGGATTAATTAAAGAGATCTCAGTATCTGTTCTAATTCTACAAAGAGCACAATTATCAGGACATTCAATACATTAATTATTTATTAAAGTTAATTTTTTTCCTTTTTATTCAGAGTGACATTATACACAAATAAATTAATTATTTTAAATTAAACATAATTAACAAGTTTCTTAACAATATGGAATACATTATTGATTATGTAATTGATACCCATCTATACATGTCTCACATAAAATTACATAATCATTTGTATTTTAGCTTTCACCAAATACATTATATAAATGAGTGTTTAGAATTTCTATATATTTTCTATAAAAAGCTCTAATTTAATTTTTCCATGAATCCTTATATAAAGAATTTGAAAAAGAGCATGTCTTGCATTTAAGCTCTTTTGGACATTGCAAACATTGACCTGATGGTTTTTCTATGTAATATCCTTATTAACATTTTAAACAAGTAAAAAAATGAAGAATATCAGTTTCTAAACAGACTTAACAATTTAAATTAATGCAATCTTAAGTAAATTATACAATATCATTTTGATACAATGATGAACTTAAACAAATTACTTAATCTAAGGATTGATCAATTGGATTAAGTTAACCAATTCCTATTTCACAATCTTCTGTAATGTTATCTTTAATACATTCATTAGTTTGAAATGTAAATACATAATACTTATTACATTTTGCACATAATGTCAAAATTAAACTTTTATCAAATTATGGTTAAAAATGAAAATCTAAAGTATTTTTAGTGAAATCATTTTTAATTACTTAGAAAGCATAAGTACAATTAGTAATTTAATTTATTAAACAATTTTATGCATCAAATGATAAAAAATATTGAGAATCATCTATGCATCTATAACATTTTAAATATTAATAACCTAAAAATGTATCATAATAAGTTTAACAACTTTAACAAAATTAACCACATTATTAACATTAATTATCAATTAAACCATAAGATTCAGTACATGAGTTACATAATGGTTGATCATATCCATCATTTTCACAAGTTAAACATTCATTTGGACATTTTAAACAACCACCAAAAATTAAGTACTATCCTGGATAACATCCATAACAATATCCGAAACTATCATATATTGGACAATTTTAGTAAAATTTTAAACATTAGTGTGAATCAGGATCTATTAAATAATTTGATTTACACTTTAGGAATCTATAACTACCTAAATGATAAAATTTAAAGTCAAAACAACTTTAATACATTTCTTTTTAATCTTCACAATAATCTTCAAGTTCTGGATGTAAATCTAATTCATAATCTAAACCAATAGAATAAACATCATAATAAATAGGATCTCTTTTAACTAATTAATAGGCTTCATCATTTAATCTATATAAAATCTTTATATAATCATATTTGCATGTTGGTTTTAAATACCAAGTTTTATAATACCAAAAACACTCTGCACAAAGTATATTTTATTAAGTTATAGATTATGGACTACATTATTTTATATTATTCATTACCATTATTTACATTCATACTAATCTCCATCTATTGGTAATCTGAAATATCCAAGTGGACATATTCTATTATTATTTATACTCATTTCATTTAATTAAACAAAAGATATAAATTAATTTGTACAAAATCCTAATTCAAATTCAAAATATCCTTCATTACAATTACATTCATATTTTTCACTCTAATAATATCTATGAGAATTTTCATCACAACTTAAACAATCATTTTATAAAGGTCCTTTACAAGTTAAACATGAATAATGACATTCTAAATTATATTATTTATACTATACTTAAATCTAATTCTTTGTCATCATTATAATTATATCTTATTTGAAAATCAACTATTTCAGCTTATAAAAACTAATTATTATAATTATCACTCCCAAAAAATATATTATATCTACTATTTGTAAATGATCCACCAAAAATATCATTTCCCATTCTTTCTTTTATTAATCCTAACTCATTATAAAATTAACCTTAAAAAAGCAATTTTTCTTAAAAATTACTTCGACCATATTCATATTAAATGTAATGCCATTTCTGTAATCCTTCATAATATTAGAAATTATTCAAATCCTAAAATATTCTTTTTGATTAATAAATATCATAATTAGTATTTTGAGATTCTTTGAATGTTTAATGAAACTATTCTTAAAAGGATTATTAAACTGGCATACTATAAGCATCTGTAAATATTATCATATAAGTTTATTCTGGGTTTCTTTTCGAAAAAAAAACTTCAAGTTTAAATAATTCATCACCCAATTACTTCTATTAATTATAATTTAAAAACCCAGTCATTCTTAATAAAATATATTTTTATTCGTTGATATCATTAATTAAATATTTTACCCAACCTGTTAAACAGTATTTATTTCCGTAATGTTCTATAAAATGTTATTAAGCTTAAACACCATCAAATATTTTAAATCCAGGTACAATATTTACAATTTGTTCATCTGTGTATTTTGGAGGGATTTAACAATCATTAATTATAACTTAAAAAATAGAATCTGAATAAAATAAGTTTGGCAAAAAAATCATTTGAGACAATAAACCTTTGAATGTGTTTAAGTTTAAATCATTTATCTTTATATTTTTAATATATTACATATCCTCTGCCTCCTAAAATAATTTATAAATTTTATTGAATTTTGGTTAGTATTTGAGTTTATTTTTTTGGTTATCCATTAATCTCAATTATGATCATTTTAAGTTACGGTTATATTAAGATTAAATGAAATATCCAAATTCCTTCATATTCTAAACTTTTAAATTCATATTAAAGAATCTCATCTTAATCATTATTCATTAATCTTATTTAATGTAACACCTTCAAATTTTCATAATCTAATAATTTATAGACTAAAAGAATGTTTGAATTTGCTTCAATATCTCTTACCAATAATAACATCTAACCATATTCAATTTTTAAAGAATCGTATGGATTATCGAAATCTTTGTTTGACTCATGATTAAGCAAAGGTATACTCATACTCCAGAATCCTAATCCATAAGTATCTCCTTCATCTAAATTTCCCATATTTATTTCCTATATATAACTTTCTGCACTTTTTGTTAATATGGCTTCATTATAATTAGAAAATGAAGCTAAGCATTATAAAGGTCCTTAAAATAATAATATTACTATAAAGAGCTTGTTTAGATTTAAACTTTAATGCAAATACATCTGCTGCAATTTATTTTTAATTGTAAAAGGATTTAAAATTAAATAATTTATAATATCTTTTAATTATTAAATACCATGAATCAATCATTTTTTGATTCTTTAATAATAAAATTCTTCTTTCTATAAGTAAAAAATAAATAAAACTCAAAGTATAAGAATAAAGGAATTAAAATTAATCAATCAAAAGGGTGTTTAAAAATTGGAAAAGTTTATGGAATAAAGTATTAAAAAAAAGAGATTTTAATAAATTATAAAAATAAAGTTACTTAACAACAATATCTAACATGGAATTAAATAGAAAAAAACTAAAGAGATAAGATACCTGTTAGAATTGATAGAAAATTTTAATTACCGTTAACAATTATAATAATTAAATGTCATAAATTTATTATTAAATGATTTTACCTTAATCTATTTTTATACATAATAAAATTGTATTTGTTTCGAAGCTTAAATGCAACAAAAATACAAATTTGATTTTTCATTTAATGTTTTAAATATTACAACATGTATAATAAAGAAAAATTTATTGAAAACTATTTTATAAAACTGAACCCCATTTGTTAAGAGTATGGAAATTTTACTATATGAATAAGATTTATATATATTTAATTCACAAAAACGGTTACTTATCTAAATATTAATGATATATTGATACTCATGACAAAAAAAATGTTAGAAATTTAAATTAAAAAATTATTCAATGAATATTAATGTAAGTGAAAAGACTAGATTAAATTTATTTGCATTCAATTAATTATCATTTATTAAAATAATTTATAAAATTACTACTTAATTCTAAAATGATAATGATAATGCATTATATTCAAATTAATATTTTAATAAAATTCTGTATCTATTATTATCATTTTAAAAATTTTTCAATTAATTTAAGTATTATTTTTAGTTAATGTTTTATTAACTTTTAACAATCTTACAGATAATTTTTATCGTTAATTATTAATACTATAAATATCAGGAGCTTCCTTAATATAATTTAATTGGAATTATTATTAATTCATTTAGTTCAAATTTTGAGGATACGGAAAAAAAAATATTAATCTTTAAATTTTTATTCAAATAAATACAATGAAAAATTAAGAATAGTATTTTATCATAAAGGCCTGTTGTTCTTTAATAAAGATTTAAAAATAAAGTAAAAAATTAACATAAATTATCTTGACATTTAAGAAAAAGAATATTAAAAAAATTAAAATTCTATGAAATAGTTCCTTTTCATATTGCTTTTGAAATTTTCCGATTTCTCTACAATTTCAGATGCTAATGCAATTTCAACTTAAATAAATTTTTGTGGTTTGGATATAAAATCAAATATAAGAGGAAACTATCAAGATGTAGCTAAACAAGATAATGGGGCCTTTTTATAATCTGCTAGAAGTAATTTATTCATTGCTTCAAATCTTGAAAATTGTCCTCTTAGAAATTTACTTTATTTTAAAACATCCTCTATCGGGCATATTGCTGTAAATCTACATGGTAAAATAATTATATAATTTCTATAAACTTATGAAATAAACAGAATTAGATTTTGGATGTATGACTTAGATGCAAGAATCACTGATATACAAATTTTTACAACAGGATCAGATCGAGTAACAGAAACAATTATATTTGATGGACTTGTAAAACCTGGGGTAGCAACTGTTAAATTTAATGATTAATTAGTTTCTAAAATAAGATTTTATAACAAAGCAGGAAACAGCTTGTATGAGCATATGTCAATAATAAAAATTGAGGCATATTACGGCTTTTGATTTAAATAATTATATATAAGAAAATATTATATTATTATTTATAATCTAATAAGTTTTTTGCTTCCTTTTTTCAAAAAAATTGTATATTTAATCATAAAAGTGCGAGATTTGAATTTACAAGTTTATCCAAACTTAGATTGATATATATTTTTTGATTGATAACTGCATGGAGCTTAATGTTTCCATACAATCAATTAATAATTTAGCAATGTTCTTTTATTAGGCTTATTTTCTCTAAGGATGACATCATTATAGTTTTTTTAATTCAAATTAATCAAAGGAAATTATTCATAAATTAGTAGAAATGATTAACTTTTAAAAATTAAAATTGATTTATTCAGTTCGAAGTCACAAAGCATATATAAAATGTTTTAAGTTGGAAAAAACTGTATATGATTATGTTATATGTTTTATTTAAAGACTAAATAAATTATATACTCTAAAATTAATTAAAATGTTGTTTAAATATAAGTTAAATATTTTTCTTATCTTAATTTATATTAATAATGGGTTTGGGGTTGGGGNAATAAAGATTTAAAAATAAAGTAAAAAATTAACATAAATTATCTTGACATTTAAGAAAAAGAATATTAAAAAAATTAAAATTCTATGAAATAGTTCCTTTTCATATTGCTTTTGAAATTTTCCGATTTCTCTACAATTTCAGATGCTAATGCAATTTCAACTTAAATAAATTTTTGTGGTTTGGATATAAAATCAAATATAAGAGGAAACTATCAAGATGTAGCTAAACAAGATAATGGGGCCTTTTTATAATCTGCTAGAAGTAATTTATTCATTGCTTCAAATCTTGAAAATTGTCCTCTTAGAAATTTACTTTATTTTAAAACATCCTCTATCGGGCATATTGCTGTAAATCTACATGGTAAAATAATTATATAATTTCTATAAACTTATGAAATAAACAGAATTAGATTTTGGATGTATGACTTAGATGCAAGAATCACTGATATACAAATTTTTACAACAGGATCAGATCGAGTAACAGAAACAATTATATTTGATGGACTTGTAAAACCTGGGGTAGCAACTGTTAAATTTAATGATTAATTAGTTTCTAAAATAAGATTTTATAACAAAGCAGGAAACAGCTTGTATGAGCATATGTCAATAATAAAAATTGAGGCATATTACGGCTTTTGATTTAAATAATTATATATAAGAAAATATTATATTATTATTTATAATCTAATAAGTTTTTTGCTTCCTTTTTTCAAAAAAATTGTATATTTAATCATAAAAGTGCGAGATTTGAATTTACAAGTTTATCCAAACTTAGATTGATATATATTTTTTGATTGATAACTGCATGGAGCTTAATGTTTCCATACAATCAATTAATAATTTAGCAATGTTCTTTTATTAGGCTTATTTTCTCTAAGGATGACATCATTATAGTTTTTTTAATTCAAATTAATCAAAGGAAATTATTCATAAATTAGTAGAAATGATTAACTTTTAAAAATTAAAATTGATTTATTCAGTTCGAAGTCACAAAGCATATATAAAATGTTTTAAGTTGGAAAAAACTGTATATGATTATGTTATATGTTTTATTTAAAGACTAAATAAATTATATACTCTAAAATTAATTAAAATGTTGTTTAAATATAAGTTAAATATTTTTCTTATCTTAATTTATATTAATAATGGGTTTGGGGTTGGGGTTTGGGTTTGGGGTT